ATATATATATATATATATATATATTATTTTATTTTTTTTAAAAATAAAATAAAATTCTATGTCAAAATAAATAAATAAAATAAGCAAATTAAAAAGGAGAAAATATTTGTTTCGAGTGAAAAATTAACAAAAGTTTTATTAACGTGCTAGACAATAAAGTAGGAAATTTGATGGCACAAAAGAGAAGTTGAAGATTCATGCTTTCTTCTTTAATGAGTAGGAGGTCAACAATCAGCTTTTGACTAAACCAGCATGTGTTCCTGCTTTGGAATTCGTGCATTACAAATACTCCTCGACTTCCATTTTTTTTTAAAGAGAAAAGGGTAAAAATGACCTTAAACTATGTGAAAAAAATAAAAATATTCTTATCAAAAATATTTTGGTTCAATGATTAAAAACTTATTAAAAATCACAAATTTCAGATATTTTCTCTTTTTTAAATTTTGTATCAAATCAAACTAGCATCTTATAAATGTGAAAATAAATGTGAGTAATAATTAATCTTTTTATCTTTTCAATAAATTGATTGTTTAAATCAAATTTGTAACTTAATATGTTAGTATTGATTTATATAAATTGATGAAACCCCACCATCACAATTTTCATTTGAAAATATCAATATCCCCTTAAATCATGGACTAAAAGGAAAAAGGTCAAAAAGCTAGATTTTGTTACTATTTCTCTGGTTAAATTAAGAGTAAATTTTGAGTTAAAATACAATAAAAATGGTATATTTGAAACCGAAAATATAAAAAAGAGTATATTTAAATTATTTTTAATAGTAGAGGCCAGAGGGATGTTACTTAACCTTTTTCCATTTTTATATTTAAGGAACCATGTTACTTGACTTAAATAAATACTAAATTTAATTTATAAAACAAAACATTCAAATTAAATTATTCTAATTAACCTTATACATTTATGATTGATTTTTTAATTTCCTTTTTTATTCTACATTATATTTTCTATCTTTTAATAGTTTAATCAAAGTTATATGCAATTTTAATAGTATATTCTTTATCTATATTATCCTTTTTAAATTATGTGATTTTTCCTTTTTACCGAATTATGTGAGTTTTTTTTATTTTTAAAATGCATATTAAATTAATTGAAATATAATTTTTGTGGGATTTTTATTAAACATTTAAATTCAAATATGAAAAATCATCCACGTAAAGGTAAACAATTACACTACCTAAGATAAGATTAAGCTTAATTTCATAATTTCAAGGCAATTTTATCCAATTTTAAAAAATTAAATATATTCAGAATTTTGGCAAGATAAACTCATTAATTAGTTGTATATCAAAAGAAAGAATTTTTACTAACTTTTTTTATGCATTGGAAAAGATAAAAGTATCACTGATTTGTAGAAAGAAAACGAAATTCAAAATTTACATTTTAATTTTTCATGAAGGGAATAATTGGCAAAAAAGAAAAAAAAAAAGTAGGAAGTATCGTAATACCCCATTGACCACGTGAATTGTCTTAAATGTCCCCATTTTGTCCGCAATCATTTTACCCAAAAAATATTTTTCTATTTTTATACTCTGTCCCAATGCAAAATTGAAATTTTCAGAGTAAACTAAAAAAATTATTCAAATTTCTTTAATATCTAGTAAATATTTAAAGTTATTAATTATTATAATTTACAGTTTTTTAACGTAGTTTTCACTAATAAAACTTTATTTCAAAAACTTAAAACCTCTCTATCTGAATTCACGATCAAAGTTTAGAAATTTAAATCTCAAAATTTCAAATATATCAATATAAATTGAGATAGAGGGAGAAGACACATTTTTTTAGTATATTAAAAAATATTAAAATACTTTTTTAACATAAACTTTTCATTTCATATATTAAATAACAACAAAAAAAATTTTAAAAATAAATAAATAACAAACTTTCATAATTATAATAATGTGAGTAATATGTTAATAGTATTAAATTTTAAATATATTTTTTGTATGAAGAAAAATTTTCTTCTTCCATTTTGTGTCTAATGAAATAGGAGTATTTAACAAAGAGATGCATAATTAATGTAGTTGAAGAGTAGAATAAATGAAAGATAAAGAGTGATAGGGACTAAAAAAGTAAAGAAGATAAAAGGGTACAAACCGTAGGGTATGTGTAATCTGGCGAGTAGGGAGAGTACCTGACAGTTTGTCACAAGAAAAACAAACATAAAAGCATTAGAATGTGAAACTTGATACGGAAGTTTTCTTAGGCATTATACCTAAAAAAAATGACCGAGTCTAGATATGTTCAAAATTTATATATCACGTTAACATTAGGTATTAAAAAGACTCAAAATTAAAGTATTTAGTTATTAAATGAGGCCAAATTAAAGTGTGAGTTTGTAGAAGAAGCATGCATGATGATGAGCTGTGGACATTATTATTATGAATGAAAAAAATGGTGCATATATATAAGCATGCGTGGACAGTGTAATGAGGAATTGTTGGAATGAGTTGGCAGATGCACGTGAGTACGTACAGTAATAAAATAAAATAGAGTTGTAAAAGTGTGATACCCATAAAGATTGTAAGGTATCCCTTGTTGGATAGCATAATGAGGGAAGGTTGTTGCTGAAGGAAATGCTGTTGCTGATTGAAACCCTCCATGAAAACCACTCATCACCCGTAAGTTCCTGCCTCCTCCTCCTGTAATTTCTTAATATTATTTTCTTTAATAAAAATAAAATAGTAAATTCATTACGTCAATTATTATTTTCTTAATAGATGTGTCAAGTAAAAAAATGAACGAGAGTAAAAGCAAAAGGTGTACATTTATTACACAGAAAAATGAGCTGTCATGCTTTCCTAAAACATCACATGCTATGCCTATAGGCAATACTGGTGGTGCTAAAGCAAAGAGCATCATAAAGTGGACTCGCACACAAACAATGCCTTTATTACCATCATGTTTTTGACTAAAACTATATCTTCCCACTAGCAAAAATGGTTTAAAACAATTCTTAATCCAAAATATATGGATCAACATTTTTTTAATTCTTCACTTTACATAAAATATAAAAAAAATTGACATTATAAATGTAGTCATTAAAAATAGTCATATTAATCTTCAATATATTTTTGCTCAAACCTTAATTCACAACTAAGGGCACTACTTGTCCCGGCCGGACTTAAAATGTGTAGGGCAAAAATGGTGTTATTTTGTATAGCTGAAGAGGAAAATTAGACTATTTTACAAGTTGGACATTATTTTTAGCATGAGATTATTTTTGAATAGTTCATCAAGAATATTCATGGTGCGTGAAAAAAGAAGTGATTACGCAAGATTTGAATATCCAAAAAAAAATTGAATCACAAAGAAAGGAGAAAGTAGAGTATGTGTGGTGAAATAATAAATTAGGTAAATATATTCCAGTACTAATAAGGATGTGATACCATGTTTAGGGGTAGTGGGTTTAGATCTTTGAACTCCCATGGAAGCAAGATTGCAGTTAGCTCTTCTTCCATCAATAACAGGAGCAGCATCAACACAAGCCCTCATCGCTGCTTCTGCCTCACGAAATGTTACCTGTATTGCGAAATTAATTAAGATAATTGAAATATATATATATGAAAAAGAAATAATAATTAATTATCATACAAATCCATAGCCTTTGGATCTTCCAGTAGCCTTATCAGTGATAACAACAGCTTCTAAGATATCACCAAATTGTTCAAAATATTTCTTCATGGTTTCCTTTTGAGTCTCCCAAGCTAAACCCCCAACAAACACCTTTGTATACGTTGTGTCCCCAAATTGACCTGATGGAGTCATCTTTGATCTATAACTGGTTATGGATCTAGGCCTAGCTGATTGATATTACAAAGGGAAGGATCTCAATTAGGTCAGAGATAGGAAGGAGGGAGGGAAAAAAAAAAGAAAGAGAGAGGAAAATAGGAGGGAAGAGAAAGAGAAAGCAAAAGAAAGATAATAATAATAATAGTAGTAGAAAAAGGGAGTTACATAATACGACATCAAATTATAAACAATGCTTGCTGCTCCTAACTGCTTTACACACTGGCATCTTCAACTATCTTCACGCGCTTTACTTCCCCGCCAACCCTTTTCAATCTCCACATACTAAGGACCGTTTGGCTCCAAAAATAAATACTTGGAAAATTTATAAAGTGACGTTTGACCTTATAACTTGGGCCAAGTTCTAGTATTTGGAATTTCAAAAAAATTCAAGTTTCCAAATACTAGTATTTGAAATTTTAAAAAATTGGACTCACTCTGAACGATTACATTGCTCTAATGTCATGGACACTACCTGTTATTTGTTGTAACAAAGATCCAATTGACTTGTAATACAAACTTATGGTTAGTTTTGATAATTTTTAAAATATATGGGTATAAATCATATTTCCTAAAAATGTGAAATATATTTCTCAAATACTATGGTCAAACACATGGTGAAATTTCACCCAAATTATATTTTCCAAAAATATTTAAAAATTTATGGTCAAACGCTAGCTAATATTTATTTACCATATCTATCTATTACTCATAATAAATAACTAGATTGCTCATCTATCTATTTTGAGAGACAAAATTGAGAAAAAACAACAATTTATTTTTAATAGGTTATAATCATAATCAAATCAATGACAAGTTTGAATATGTGATTAATGTATGATCTCACCTATATTGTTATTTTGTTGTTGTTGATTGTTATCAATTATGTTATAAGGTTTTTTTTAACGAAACATATTCATTATAAATGATAGAGAAAATGGTCTAACCCCCCCCCCCCCAAACCTATACCCAAAATCTCAACTACACACTCCAACTTCACGGGCGTCCTATTACCCACTTGAACTTTATATTTCTCTATTTTCTACACACCTAAGTGTTGGCCTGTCATGGGAGGTGTTCTCACCTCCTCTAGGCACATTAGAAGGTGAATTTTGACGAAAATTTCCTCTTTCTCCAACGGTCATCTTCCCCACCCTTAAATAAATCATCGTTTCTTCTTCCCCACCATTACCCTTGTTCCTTTTATTAAAAAAATTCACTATTTCCTCTAAAAAATAAGTAGGGTTTAGTTGTTTACGTTCATTTCTACTTCAAATCTTGAATTTGGGGTTTGTATTCTGCTCTAATTTCTTATTTAGGTCTCTAATTTGAATTTTGAATTTTCTCAAAATTCATCAAAAATGACAAATGAAAACTTGAATAAGTTTGTATGGATGAATCAGACCCAATACTCAACGTTGTAGTGAGATGCAAACATGAAATTTTGCTGAATTTGCAAACGTCTTGGTCGAAATTAAATCCGGGAAGAAGATTTTGCTCATGCTATGGTGTATGTATTTTTCCTTGTATTCTTGCTACACTTTATATTGAACGATGCTAATGTACTATTTTTGGATCATTTTCAGTCTAAAAATTGCAATGTTTTTTGATAGAGGGACAAAGAAGAAGTGGATCCAAGATCAAGTTTTATCTTTTCAAGATTGGTGAACAAAATCAATGAGTTGGAGCCAGAATTATGTATTACATGGGTTCATATTGACAACTTGAGGAACTCTAATTTGTTATTGGAGAGGAGACTCAATAGAAGGTGGAAATGGTGTAGGTTCAATAGGAAGATAATTTTGTGTATTTTGATTTGTGTTGTTGCTATGTTCATTAGAAACCAATCTATTCAAGGGTAGTATTTGATTTAGATTTCTCTTTGATTTGTATTGTTGTTATGTTTAATTAGAATTGTCAATATATGTGATTTGTATTGGCCTTGTATTAATATGCAGCACTTCATCTGTAAACTAAATAACCAACAACCTAGTCATCCATTCATACTTCAACATAGACAACACAACATCATTTGTAAAACACATAACCAACACAACATTATTTGTATAGTCAATTGAACCAACACAACACCATATGTAAACACACCTGATTAGCCAATACAATTCGATAGACAACACAATAACATTTCATAACACAACATCACCATTCATTCATAAGCCCTCACATAAAGCAGAATTTACCAAAATAAAGTCATACTCATAAGGCCTCACATAAGGCAGAATTTACCAAAATAATGTCATATTCAAAAGCCCTCATAAGGCAAAATTTACCAACAAACAAAAACCAAAATAGTAGGCCTTTAATGTAGCACGTCTCGACTAACTTAAAATTGCTTAAATACTTCAACATTACTACAATTTTCATGGCATTTTTTACTGTGAAGAAGTTTGACTTGGATTATTTGAACTACTTCCCATTGTCTTCTTTCTTTTCTTCTATCTAAGCTCATGAAGTTTGCTTGTTGAGATTGTTGCTTTACCAATGTCACCAATTACATCAGATGCTCTTGTCACTTTTGCTTGTCCAGTAGAGTAGATCTTACTACTTGGCATGTCATGCTATAGTAAAATTAGGATTATAATTCAATATTTAAGTTGTTTAAATAAACAAAATTAGAATTATAATTCAATATTTAAGTTGTTAAGATATATGAAAGACTCATATTCATGACTTTGAAGCCATTTGTAGCTTGGAACACACCCATTTCCATGACTCTTGATCTTTTCTCTGGAGATATGTTTTCCCTGCCCCTACCTCTTCCTCTTTTAGTAGTACCAGCTACTGAAGATGATGCATGTTAAGTAGAAGGATCAGAAGAGGATGCAGGAAAATCAATAGGTGTAGTAGGTAGGGAAGGTGCACTAGGTGCTACTGATGATTCTTTTTTTGTCTTCCTCTTCCTTATTTTAGTAGAGGCTCACCTTCTAATGGTGCTGATGGAGTTTTCTATACATATAAGAAAAAAAGTAAGTCATAAATTAAGAAAAAGTAAAACAAGTTCAAATATTACCTTTGGTTTGCCTCTTCCCCTGCCTGAACCTGTTGGTTCTGCCCTTACGGATGTAGTAGGTGATGGTGCACTATGTCTTGTTGATGACTCAACACCTTCTCTTTGAGGACACCCTCTCTTGTTATTCCCTGTGACATCACATATATTGCATGTCATTGCAAGTTCAGCTCTAGGAAGCTTCTCAGATTTCTTAGTTTCTCCGACTTCTTTCCTTCTAGCCTTAGGTGGCCTACCAGGCATGTTTGTGGTTTCTCGTGGCTCAATAGTGGGGTTTGTAGAAACTAGAGACATCTCCATGTTTGTGAGTGGTTCAATAACATTGGCATAAGTCCTCAAGTAAGTTTCTTTACTGTAGAAGTTGTCTATATAGTCATAAAGAGAACTTCTTAAAGTATAATGCAGCCACATCATGTGCACATGGTATGCCCCTTAACTGCCACAACCTACAACTATAAGTTCTCCTAGCAATATCCATTTTGTGTTGACAAAGCCCTTTTTGCACTTCAAATCCAACAACTCTACTAAACTCAATGGTACAGTCCATATACCTACTAATGTTCTCCTCTAAAACCTTCAGAGCCATTGGAGAGAAATTACACTTCCAAGTACTTGGGAACTCCCTTAAATTGGCTATTATTGTCATCATCTTCACTCTTATTTCTTCAAGCATAGTAATGATGGTCTTGTGTCTAGCAGCCAAGATCCATGCATTAAAACACTCAGACATGTTGTTGTCTACAGAGTCACACTTCACTTCAGTATTGAAGTAAACTTTGCACCAATTATTAATGGTGTAGTACATTAACTTATCCATCATTCTTTCTGGACCTAACAACTTCATCTTCTCTATATTTTTCCTTAATTGAGACTCAAATGTACTCTTAGCTATCTTCCAAAATTATTTTCTTCTTTGAAGACCCCTCCAATCCTTAGCCCAGTTAGCTAATATGTGCCTAGCACACATTCTATGTTCACACTTAGGTAGTACATATGTAATTGCTGCAGACATTCCCGCAATAGATGATAATTAGGTCACAATTACATATATAAATTGAAAATTACAAAATAAGTTCACATACCTTTTGTGTATCCGTAATCAAGGTGAGACCTTCACCATCTTTAAGTCCCAGATCATCCCTTATGCACTTGACAAACATGGTCCATGTGTTTTTGTTCTCCGTTTCAACTACTGCCCAAGCAAGTGGCAGCATCTGATTGTTACCATCCTTGGCCACAACAACTAACAGTTTACCTTTACAAACACCTTTAAGGAAACAACCATCTAAGCCTATGCACTTCCTACAATGTATCCATGCCTTCCTTAAAGCATCAAAACAGATGTAAAAACTTTGAAATATTGATTTGCCTTCTGCATCAGGTTCACCAACTTTTACAACACAACTGGTCCCTCGATTGGTCCTCACCAATTCATCCTTGTAGTCAAGTATTCTTCCAAATTCCATAACATGATCACCCATTATATCTTTCAACACTTTAGCTCTTGCTCTTCTCACAATAGTCTTGCCCACATAAAGTTTAAACTTTTTCCTAATCATCTCCTGCAACTTGAAGACTCTTATGTTTGATTGCTCAGTTATTCTTTCTCTGAAGGCTTCAGATAAAAACTTTGCATTGCACAAGTAATTTTTAGTTGTCTTGTTGAAGTAAGCTTTGGATTGTAAGTTTTTATCATGAAATTATTTGTTGTCTTGTCAAGACATCTATACAAAAGCCATGGACAACCATCTTTGCATCTAACTCTAACTTTCTTTGGCTCATTTACCCATTTCTCCCCCTGAACCCTCCTTTTAACTGCATATTTAGTTACTGCTTCTCTAAATTATTTCACATCTTTAAACAACATAACCAACTGCCACACAACTTTCTTTGCAGTAGGATCATAAAAGACTTTTTATGTTGTTGTCCTCCTCTTTCTTAACAACTTTACCTTTTTTGCTCTACCAGATTCATGTTCATCATCATCACAACACTCATCTTCATCTAACTCAAAACTATCCTCATCAGAACTTGCAAAGTAAGGATCATCACCTCCTAGTCTTCCTTCATGACTTATTTTACCTGTTCCAGTTTCATCAA